TATACCCTATGGGAAGATGTAGCTGCTCTAGTGATAAGCCTCGAGTAATTATGAAGTAATAAGATTGAACCATATCATCCCTGTATTCTTCTATGGTCATGTTTGTTTGGGATGAAGCACTTGACTACTTGATTATATTGACTCTGCATTACTTGCTTTCTGTTCAAGTTCATTTCTAAAACTACCTTCACTAGATCATATATGATAGGAAGTCTTGAGCACCGAGTCTGACCTTCTGCAAGTAGTTTCTATCTCTGTGCTATCCTTGATTGTGATGCCTTGTGCTTTAGTGCTTTATACGAAGTATCAAAGTTCTTATGAATGTGTCAAATAGACATAAAAGTACACTGCCAATATAGGTGTGTGCTAACCAATCAATACCAAACTATATATCCACATTTGACTATTAGTTCCAAATTCCAATGGTATGCACTATGGCACAACTTCTGATACACACTTGAGGGTTATATGTGTGTGTGTGTGTATATATATTGATGTTAGTTTATGCATTCATTTCTTCTTAGTTTTGAATGCATTAATATAAGAAGAAATGGTTCTTTGTCTTATACCTCTGAATGATCATTACAGGGTACTCGTGATTTTGCGAAGGAACAAATGGCCATAAGAGAAAAGGCTTTTTCAGTAATAGTTGAGGTTTTTGAGAGGCACGGTGCTACTGCTTTGGATACCCCTGTTTTTGAATTGAGAGAAACTTTAATGGGGAAATATGGAGAAGACTCAAAGTTGATTTATGACCTTGCTGATCAGGTATAATAATTGTTTCAATTATTCCATCCTATGTAGGGGTATATATTAGTATTAATATACTGCGTGCTTTATAAAGTCTTCTATTATTGTATGTATTGTTTAATTTGTCCTTTTTGATGTTTGCTTATACTGTTGATACAAAGAATTCCAAGAATATTCTCTTCCCCATAATTGATGCATGTAGATTTGTATGTAGTTTTTTAGTCCATCACTAGTGTGCATGTGTTTGTATATATATGCAAGAAGTTGAGCTTGTGAATATTACATCTTTTGTGTAAATATTGAGTATTGACGTATAAAGCAACTAGACCAACCCATTTTTTTTGTATGGTTAATGTGGTTTCTGTCCATTATTAATCAAATGATGCTTATGTGGTGGATTCTATTGTTATTTTGTTTCATTTCATTTACAGGGTGGTGAACTTTGCTCTCTTCGTTATGATCTCACAGTACCATTTGCTAGATATGTGGCAATGAATGGTATTACATCATTCAAAAGGTATCAGATAGCTAAGGTGTACAGAAGAGACAATCCCTCCAAGGGAAGATACCGTGAATTCTACCAATGTGATTTTGATATAGCTGGTCAGTTTGAAAAGATGGGCCCTGATTTTGAGGTCATCAGAATTTTAACTGAGATGCTAAATGAGCTTGATATAGGGGATTATGAGGTAATTGTTACAAGTGCTGTTAATAAGTATGCTTTGTTATTTATGATTTTCATTTCACATTAGGAATAGCTTTATACTGGATGTATACGTTGTATTTGATATTTTTAAGTAAAAGAATTGCTTTGCAAGCAATTGAATTCTCCACCACACGATAAAGCTAACAGAAGAATAAATTGCTAATTATGGAGAATATATCATGTTTATGCAAGAAAGCTATGTGTCAACTTTGTTCTTAGTATAGAAATACTGACAAATACTGTGTCATGACCTTGCATCTTGCCATGATACCAAATGCTGTTTACATATCTTTGCATCTGAGTCAAATCTTCTGTCACTTTCCAGTTGCAATTTTATTATTTCACTCTGTAGCTTGGAATACACTCTATCATGCTATCTTAAAGATATCTATCTATTGCTCTATAAATGTATTAGCAATTGTATGCTCTCCTCTTTCCAGGTGAAGCTGAACCACCGGAGATTACTTGATGGGATGTTGGCCATATGTGGGGTGCCACAAGAGAAATTCAGAACTATCTGTTCTAGCATTGACAAGCTAGATAAACAATCTTTTGAGCAGATTAAAAAAGAAATGGTGAGACCTTGCCTCATTTTGTCATGAAGTTATTATTTGCTCTTGTATTAATTTATTAAAAAAAAACTTGTGTGGTTTGATATCATTGCACGTTTCTTTGCAGTGAAATCTAGAAATCTAAATTCTAAAATAATGTGCCCATGCATTCATAGTATTCCACACCACACAAATCATTGAGACTAAAAACTAGACAGTACAATTTCCATTGGCTTAAAGCTCTTACACTGCCATAATACCTGAGTTATCTGCTTCTCTTCATTCTCTCAAATATCCATAACTTGCCTTCTATCCTTTTCTTATCATCAGTGAAGGAGACTTCTGAAATCATTATTATTCCCCTATTATTATGACATACCTTCACATCATCATGTTTTCAAGTATGCTAACTTCATGGATTTATGACTTTCCACCATTGCTATTTTCTGCTAGGTGGGTGAGAAAGGTTTGAGTGAAGAGACAGCTGACAAAATTGGCACATTTGTCAAAGAAAGGGGTTCTCCTTTGGAATTGCTACAGAAGCTTAAACAGGAAGGTAGTGAATTCTTGGATAACAGTGAATCCGTACTTGCATTAGATGAGTTGGAGATTTTGTTTAAAGCTCTTGATAAGTCCAAATGCATCAATAAAGTTGTGTTTGACTTGAGCCTTGCAAGAGGTCTTGATTACTATACTGGAGTCATATTTGAAGCTGTTTTCAAAGGGGCTACACAGGTAAGCTGTGATTAAAACTGTCCAATTGGTGTGTATTTAAACTGCAATTAAATGGTTTTATAGCACTAAAAACTGTTATGTTCACAGGTTGGTTCAATCGCTGCTGGTGGACGTTATGACAATCTAATAGGAATGTTTGGGACAAAGCAGGTTCCTGCAGTTGGGATTAGCCTGGGAATTGAGAGAGTATTTACAATAATGGAGCAACTCCATAAAGACAAGGAGGTGATACTAACTTAACTTGGGAATCCCTCACCCCCCCCCCCCCCCCCCCCCCAAATGTTAGAATTCATATTTCTGAACTCCTATAGGAACAGTTTACTCATTTTACATCAATTTTCAGGTCCGGGCAAGCAAAACTCAAGTTCTTGTTAGCATTCTGGGTGATGACCTTAATTTAGCATCTGAAATAGCCAGTGAACTGTGGGATGCAAAACTGAAAGCCGAGTTCCTGGTGAACAAAAGGGTGACCAAGCACTTTGATCGAGCCAAAGAGTCAAAGATTCCTTGGATAGTAATCGTTGGCGAACGTGAACTCAGTGAAGGAATTGTTAAACTAAAGGATGTCAGCGCAGCTAAAGAATACCCAGTCGCTAGAAATAATCTCGTAGAGGAGCTTCGCAACCGGCTTAAGGACACTAAATGTTAGGTTTGGAGTAGATTTTGAGTTTGCATGTACTCAATTTTAAGTTAAGGTCTTCACTCATATTTGGAAGGTATGAAGGGTGCTGCCTTTATCTTGTTAATTTCATATCCTTCTCCCGTTCTCCTATATGAAAGAAAAAGGAAACAAATTATTAATTTTTTTCCTTGGATTCACCCATGTGTATCCCATTTTTGTGAGGATGTTGGGATATTGTATTAAAAATTTACCTTATTGTTCATAACTATAAAGAGGTTTTTTACACTTTTAGTCTCATGACTATAGTGGCATTATCAGGATTGATTCGTAACTTTCGAACTTTGCAATTTCAGTTCATGACTATTGTTTTTGTTGCAAAAATATCATTTCGGCTAATTTTTTTTGTCAAAATCTCACTGGAGAAAAAATTCTTTATTTCAAGCATGGATAAAATAGACATTTATATTGACTTTGCAATTTTGGACCGTTGTTGACCTTTTATTTTGACCTAAGTGCGAAAAAATTGTACAAAAAAAGAAACTCAATTGCCAGAGACGGAAATTTGAGTATGAAAATGGCAATCGATGTAGTCATTATGTTTTCCTTTAAAATAAAGAAGATGAAGATCGACAATGAATGGCGTGTTGAAGATCAGAAGATGGCAATCGATGTTTTCCTCTTGTTCGCAGATGGGTTGATGAGATAAGAGCATATTAGGGTTCGTCTCTGGCAATTATTTTTTTGGTTTGATCTTTTCGCACTTCGATCAGAATAAGAGGTCAATAGCAGTTCGAGATTGCAAGGTCAATATAAATACCTATTTATCTCTGCTTGAAACGGAGAAAAAGGACCATTTTTGCAACAAAAATAACGGAGAAAAAGGACCATTTTTGCAACAAAAACAATAGTCGTGAACTGAAATTGCAAAGTTTGAAAGTTACGAATCAATCTTGATAATGCCACTATAGTCATGAGACTAAAAGTGTAAAAAACTTTAACTATAAACTATAATGTTTGCATGTTCGGTGATGTGTGCTGCTAAGAGCATCTCTAACTCAATTCACACCAAAACACCAAATGTCACATCAGAAGTAATATTCTTACACCAAATTTCTAAACTAAAATAATTTGTTTTCTCAATTATTAGTTCAAATTTAATTAGTTTAATATAATTTAATTCAAACTTAAGTAATTTAATATAAAATATAACTTGTGATGTAAATAATAATTTTTATTAACATTAATTATGTAAAAATCAAATTTAACAATATTTTTGAAAATTATGTTGTATTTTCGAATATCAATAGTATGTCGTATGTATTTTAAGTTTTATTATGTTCTAGTTATGTTTGATGTATTTGAAATTTTAATTATATAAGTATTTAACAAAATAAAATATTACATATAAAACAAATAAATGATATATTTGAAATTATAAAATAAAAAAAAAATAAAAAGATAAAATAGTAACTTTCCTCTCAATTTCACATTTTTCGTGGATGAACAGTGCCCCACCAAAAAGAATGGCGTTATGCAGCGATGCAGTCTCCCATTAGAGTAGTGAAATTTGCAAGTTTGGTGTTTTGGCATTGGATAATGCAGTTTTGCAGCTCCCTGGGAGATGCTCTTTTAAGTGAGGAGGACTATAAGTCTATAACTATTTTTGTGTGTTTTATTTCACTCTGAAGCCCCTAGAAACAGGGGAATACACAAAAGACACAAGTCACACAACGGAAGAAGTGGAGAAAGAAGTGGGAAAGAAACTAGCTCCTCCCTTGGACAAAAACTACCTTTCTTTTAGGGAAAAAAAGAGACCAAAAATGTGGTAAAAAACAGAGAATAGAACGTAGAATCAATGCTGACAAAATATTGGGTCAAGACATCCCTTCCATCTTTCCCCCGTCGTAGTGGTTGTTGCTGATGATGATGATGGGCGTGCAGCAAGCCACCGGAGCTTCACGCAACCGGTGGCTAAGAGTAGCTGCTCCGCTAATAATGTCATCCTCCTCCCAGTCGTCCTCGTCATCACGCCCCCTCTTGTTCATCTTTATTGGAATGTTAATGTTTTCGTCACATGCATGGGCTGCTAAGCCATCATCATCAGGCAACAACCGAGTTTCATCGGTTGACAGCTCGGCCGACGCCCTCATTAGCTTCAAAAAATCCCTCGTCACCGGCCCCAACGGCATGACGGCGTCCCGGGCGCTGGCCTCTTGGGATCCCTCCACCAGCCCCTGCTCCGGCAACAACCAGAACTGGCGTGGTGTGCTTTGTTATAATGGAAACATTTGGGGTCTGCAGCTTGAGAATCTCAACCTCTCCGGCGACATTGACGTTGATTCCCTTACTCCCCTCCGTTCCCTGCGGACTCTCAGCTTCATGAACAACGCCTTCGAGGGTGTAATGCCCGACTGGAGAAAGCTCGGTGCTCTCAAGTCGCTCTTCCTATCCAACAACCATTTCTCCGGCGAGATCCCCGACAACGCTTTCTCCAGTATGACTTCTTTGAAGAAAATCCATTTAGCTAATAATAACTTCGTCGGAAATATTCCCCTTTCTCTGGCAATCACCCCTAGGCTCCTGGAACTCAGGCTCGAGAACAATGACTTCACCGGAACCATACCGGCCTTCCACCCTGGTCTCAGGTTGTTCAACGTCTCCAACAATCAGCTCGAAGGTCAAATCCCCCCCAGCTTATCCCTTATGGATCCATCTACTTTTTCTGGTATTTTTCAATCCTCCTTCCATAGATTCACTATGTTAATTAGTTATCCTCCTAGCTCTGAGTTTACCCTAATTGAGTGAGTGCAGGGAACAAGGATCTATGTGGAAAGCCTCTGGACACTCGTTGCAACCCGAAAAGCACTTCACCCGCCCCGACTCCTCACCCGACCTCTCCCGGGGGTTCCAATGGCGGCAGTCGTAACAATCCAGCGCAATCATCTTCTCAAAATAGCACACTGCTGCTGATAATACTTTGCTGCATGGCCTTTGTTGTGCTCCTTTTGGTGATTATCATTTTACTTTACAATTTCCGATGCCAAAGCAGAGGAGGAGTCGAATCTGCGTATTCTCCCTACAATGCTCACCCTGAGAATTTCACCGCCGTGACGACCTCTCCGGAAGTGGTGCTCCCGGCCGTCCCCTCCGCCTACACGACTAATCCTACTACTGCCCCTGCCAAAGCAACGCCGGGCGTGGGAAAGTTGACGTTTGTGAAAGGCGACAGGTCGCAGTTCGATCTGCAGGACCTGCTGAAAGCTTCGGCAGAAGTGTTGGGAAGTGGGAACTTGGGATCCTCGTACAAGGCGCTCATGATGGACGGGCAGGCCGTGGTGGTGAAGAGGTTTAAGCATATGAATTACGTCGGGAGAGAAGACTTCCATGAACACATGAGACGGTTGGGCAGGCTTGAACACCCCAACTTGCTCCCTCTCGTTGCTTATTATTACAGAAGAGAAGAGAAGCTCTTGGTGGTTGATCATATCCCCAATGGCAGCTTGGCTAGCCACCTTTATGGTAAATCTTCAATCTTCAATTTGCATACAATCATCTACCTTTAAGGGTATTTTTGTCTTTTTCAATTTAAGATCCTTGAGTCTGAATAAAGAGATTTAAGTCCTAAGATCGAATCGCAATTCTCCTCCTCATCCTACCTTAATTTGAGGAGAAGAACTGTGAGTTCGGATCGATCTTAGGACTTAAATTCCTTTATTCATGCTCAAAATTGGAATCTTAATTTGAAAATGACGGAAATACCCTTCATAATTTCATATTTCGGCATGTCTTAAACGAATGAGTGACCGGCCTGAGAAATTTTGGCACTAAAACAATAGTCAGATTAAAATTGGTAGTAAAATAATAGTGATGATGAAAATTGGTAGGAATTAAACATGTGGATCAAAACTATTATTTTGCTAATACTCGTGAGACCAAAATTGGTATTTGCTCTTACCGAGCTAGGCTGACTTGCTTGGCTAGTCACCTTTATGGTAAATCTTCAATCTTAAAATTTGTATACAACATTTCTTCACTGGAGCAACCTAGTCAAGTTCGTCAAACAATTAATTTAGTAATTTCAAAATTTCAAATTACTTTCAATGAAAGCAGTTTATTGACTCAGGTCACACCTTCTGGTCTGAAAAAATAACATATTTCATTTGCATATAAGCATGTGAATGTGTAATATAATTGCTTGCATGTATGTATACAGGCACTGATTCAAGGCTTGATTGGCGAACGCGGTTGAAGATCATCAAAGGAGTGGCGAAGGGGCTAGCCTACCTTCAAACGGAGCTACCTAGCTTAGTGACTTACCACGGTCACCTCAAATCTTCAAATGTTCTTCTGGATAAGTCATTCAATCCCATCATGATGGACTACACACTGGGGCCGGTGGTAAACTGCGACCAAATCCCCAACGTTCTGATCGCCTACAAATCCCCGGAATACGCACTGCAGGGGCGCACCACCAGGAAAACCGACGTGTGGACCCTGGGGATATTGATCTTAGAGACGCTAACCGGCAGGTTCCCCGCCAACTACCTGATGCAGTGCCCGGGATACGGCTCCGAGTTAGCGAGCTGGATAGAGTGTATAGCCGCGGGGCTAGAGGATAGCGACGCCGGCGGTCAATCCGACACAACCGTTTTCGACAAAGAGATGGGGGATACGCAAGCCAACCGGGGAGAGATGCAGAAACTACTTAAGATTGGGTTGGCTTGCTGCCAAGAAGATTTGGACAAGAGGTGGGAATTAAAGGAGGTCTTGGAAGAACTGAAAAGAATCAAAGACCAGGATGACGACTAAAAGTAAAAGGTTGCTAACTTATAAATTCAATATTTTATATGTTTCTGTCAACTATTGTGAGGATATTTGTGCTTTTATGTATATATGTATATACATCAAGCGGATGCAGCTGCTTTACTTTACACCCTAAATTTGGCCTCTATTTTTTATTTATTTATTTATTTTGGTGAAAGTGAGGGACCAAAAGTCCAAAAGGTCCCAAGAGAGGGAAACGACTAGGAGATCATTCTAGTGTCTACGTTTAAGGAGTCACGATCATTGATTCTTCGCACACCATGGGGGGAGGGGGTTGAGGCAAAATAGTCGTACCCCAAGGATTGTCTTAGCTTGTCCTATATTAGCAAGATAATTTGCATACTAGTTCCCCTCCCAAAACAAATGTTGAACTTTATCATTTCAACCCTCAATTTCGCCATTCACCTCTTAATATGAATATACTTTTTAAGAGAAATGTCCAAAACTCAAAACTAATCAATCAATCTAACCAAAGTTATTAACTTTAATTTGGATGTAACCTTAAAAAATCACATTCCATAATTTATCTTTTTCACTCAAACTTCAAATCGTGATTTTAATTCTTGCCGTCTGGAAGAATGATTTTAATTCTTGCAGTTTGGAGAACATAATATTGGTAAACCCAAGCATGGAATATAAAATTAACATTCAAATTTTATAAAATAAATTATAATTTTAAAATTGATAAAATTTGATCTATCCAACTATAATTATAGTTAATGCAAGTCATATACTCATATATCTAATTTATGTTTGTATTTCTTATGCATTATGCTAACAAAATTATACTTTAATTTGTTTAGTCCTAAATGTTAAATATTCTATTAGTTAAGCATTAAATACTAAATCAAATTATGTAACTGTCAAAATTCAATAATTTTTTTGAGGGGTCAATAATCTATATCTATATATCTATATATCTACATATATATAAAAGTAAAATCCTCGTAACAAATTTTCCCCCCAAAGCTTTTGTAGTAAAGTTTATTTGGTAAGTAAATTAAATGTCAAATGGAAATTAAGTAAATCTATTAATTGTTATATTATGTATGTTATTATATTCTATAATATAATTGAAAATATTATTGTTCAAATATAATAAAAATCTTATGAAATAATGTAACCATAATAAAATAAAAATAATAATCTATCTATCTATATATATATAAAAGTAAAATCCTCCTAACAAATTTTTCCCCCAAAACTTTTGTAGTAAAACTTATTTGGTAAGTAAATGTCAAATGGAAATTAAATAAATAATAATAATAATAATAATAATAATAATAATAATAATAATAATAATAATAATAATAATAATAATAATAATAATAATAATAATGTTATTACCTTAAATAAATAAATTATTATATTTTCCCTTAAATAAATAAATTATTATACTTTCCTTTTGAATTAGTATTTTCTATCTATAAATACAAGAGCTTCTTCAATCAAAGAATCTCAGACTCATCTTTCTGCTTTCTTTTTGTATGAATTTTCTACATTTTTCTAACTATATTCTCACGTACTTCAATATGTTTTGCAGTTTGGACATCATGAATAGCTTCATCAACGAGAGGTGACTCGCTTGGCCCACTACAACAAGAAGCCGATAATCACTTCCCGCGAGATCCAGGCTGGCATGAGATTGGTTCTTCCTGGCGAATTGGTAAAGCACGTTGTCTCTCTAAAAACACTAAAGCAGTCACCATATTTACAAGCTCTTAGATGAAATCATTTAAATCTATGTTTTGTTTTATATAATCTCAATTAGGGATTAATAGATGTAAAGTAACTTGGATTTGAGTTTAATTTCATATTATTCTTCCAAAATGGTTAATTTCATATTATAAGTATTGTTATCTATCTTCAACTATCAGTGAATCGATTAGCATTCTCAAAAAAAAAAAAATGAATGTCTATATCTACGTGCATTTAAGATGCAACATGTGTATGATTCATTAGGCTTTGAGGCAGGAGAACACATCTGGATACATTGGTAGATCTGTATCTCATTGCAAAAAAATATCCATACAATTAATTAATTAATATAATTACAATTATCATTATTCTAATTCAAAAAAAAAAACTAAAGAATTAATTGTAATAATGAAATTTGTTATTAATATTCTATTACTAATTGACATAGAAATCAGACTAAAAGAAAAATAAAATTAATATTAAAAATGGACTCGAATTAAAAAAATGTGTTTAATAAGTAAATAACTAATTTGCTATACAGAAAATTAAGGTAAAGGAAAAAGAAAATGATTATTAAACATTGTACCAGATTGTTTTTATGATTGAAACTGAATATTACAAACGTACCAGATTGTTTTTATGACCAGGAATAAGAATGAATTTTACACACAAGAATCTATTATTAATATTCTGTTATACTAATAGGCATGGGAATCATGCGAAATGAAAAAAGGATTTAATATTAAAAATTTATTAGAAATATAACACAGTTTTCCCTACGAAAATATTAGTAACCACCAAATGAAATATTAGGAAAAAATTATGAAGAAAAAAGAAATGGAAACAAATATTAACTCTTTCTATGAATGTAAAAAGGAAATGAATATATCCATATTTCACTTAAAATATAATCAGTAATTATATTATATTATTATAATTATATTAATTATTTATGAAGAAAAAAGGAAATGAATATGAAAGGAAAAAAATAAAATTTAGACACGAAAATCTATTATTAATATTCTGTTATACTAATAAACACGGGAATTAGGCCAAATGAAAAAAAAAGATTTAATATTAAAAATTTATTGAAAATATAACACCGCTTTCCCTACGAAAAAATTAGTAACCACCACGTGAAATATTAGAAAAAATTATTAGGGAAAAAGAAATGGAAATGAATATTAACTCTTTCTATGAGTGAAAAAGGAAATGAATATATTCATATTTCACTTAAAATATAATCAGCAATTATATGATTATAAATATTATAATTATATTAATTATTTATGAAGAAAAAATGAAATGAATATATTAATAGTTTACTGGAAATATAATCAGTAATTATATTTTTTATAATTATATTACTTTTTAATTATGTGAAAATGAATATTAATTCTTTTTATGAACGAGAAAGGAAATGAATAAAAGCTAGGGCGAAAGAGGAATATCATAATTGGTTTCTTTCCCAACCAAATGCCATTTCACAAAGAAATCTATTATTAATATCATGTTACTAATCGACATGGAAATCAGGCCAGTTAATCGACAATTATTAAAAAAAATGAATAAAAATCAATATTAATTCTTTTTATGAAGAAAAAAAAAAGAAATATATATATTCAAAAGGAAATGAAATATGAAGAAAAAACGAATGAATATGTTTATATTTCACTAAAAATATAACACAGCTTTTGGCACAGAAATCAGACCAAAAGAAAAAAGAAATTAATATTAAAAATGGACTCGAATTAAAAAAAAATGTGCTTAATAAGTAAATAACTAATTTGCTACACAGAAAATTAGGGTAAAGGAAAAAGGAAATGATTATTAAACACGTACCAAATTGTTTTTGTGATTGAAAATGAATATTACAAACGTACCAGATTGTTTTTATGACCAGAAATAGGAATAAATTTTACATACGAAAATCTATTATTAATATTATGTTACTAATAGGCATGGAAATCATGACAAATGAAAAAATGATTTAATATTAAAAATTTATTGGAAATATAACACAATTTTCCCTACAAAAAAAAAAAAAAAAATAGTAACCACCAAATGAAATATTAAGAAAAAATTATGAAGGAAAAAGAAATGGAAACAAATATTAACTCTTTCGAAAAAAGGAAATGAATATATCCATATTTCACTTAAAATATAATCAGTAATTATATTATTATATTTACATTAATTATTTATGAAGGAAAAAGGAAATGAATATGAACAGAAAAAAATGAATTTTACACACGAGAATCTATTATTAATATTTTGTTACTAATAGACACAGGAATCAGGCCAAATGAAAAAAAGATTTAATATTAAAAATTTATTGAAAATATAACACCGTTTTCCCTACGAAAAAATTAGTAACCACCACACATGAAATATTAGGAAAACATTATGAAGGAAAAAGAAATGGAAATGAATATTAACTCTTTCTATGAGTGAAAAAGGAAATGAATATTACTCATAATGAATAAATATATGAATTATTATACATAGTAGCATGGAATTAATTAGTAGGACAATTATATTAGGTAATCTAATTAATAATTTACTTTTTTTAAAATTATATTCTCTTTTTAATAATGAATATTTTTTTAAAGTATATACACAGATTATGCTTATCAATATAGAATTAAAAGTGTATAGATGTATAATATTATTAGTGCAAAATCAATTATACTTGCCTTAATAATTAATTATTAATATTATTGCCTAATAATTATGTGTTGTCACCTTTTTCGGGGTAATTATTATGGTAATTTATATACATATATATTTTTATACTTAATGTATAATATTATTGGGCACAAAATAAATATACTTACCTTAATATATATAGATTATTTTTAATATAATTTCCTAATTTATTAAAGGTAATTATTCTCATAATTTTTCTTTCATTCTTTTGTGTAATTATTATGGTAATGTATTTAAATATTAGAAGAGAAAAAATGTTATAATTAATATAATTAATGAAATTATTATTGTAATTGCCACAATATTTGTTAATTATAAATAATATAATTAAGAAATTTGAGAAATATAAGGTTTCTTCCGTAGAAATATTTGTGACAATTTCATTAAATTATAATTAATAAAATATGAAATATAATTAAAGAAATGAAATTATAAAATTAACAAAACATGAATATTTATAATTTTTTTAAAATATACATACATACACTTTTTAAATTTCTAAATATAATTTTTTAAGTATAAATCTATCAATATAAATTAAAATTAATGAAATTATATTATAATTTTCCTATATACATATTAATAAATATTATGTGTATATACAATGTATTATACAATCATATAAGGATATGCGTCCGATTAGAGTTTATATTTGTTCATACAAAATTTAGAATTTACATTTTTATTGATTTCTAAGTAC